TGTGTGTGTGTGTAGTAGTTGTTTTTGTTGTGTGTGTGTGTGTGTGTGTGTGTGTGCATGTGTGTGTGTGTGTGTGTTGTTGTTGTTTTTGTGTGTGTGTGTGTGTGCGTATCTAATTCCTATATAAATACATATATACTAATAAAGTACCTCTTTTCTGAGAGCGAGAATCTGTTCCTTTAGCGTAGCTTCTTCAGCAGCGCGCGGATTCCCGCTGTCAACAGTGGAGAGGGTGTCAGATGACTTACTTGTCCCGGTCATCGTTATGTATATGAACGCCGATGGAAATATAAAAGATAAGGTTCAAGTACTTCTTGCTACACTCCTGGGACTTTCTGGTTTCGAGTCGTGAAACAAATTGTACTTTACCTGCAAGTAAATTTCTCACATCATGTAAGCTAAATGGTAACATTCATGTACTTGTGATATAGGTATATATTCAGTCTGGTGCCTCTTGGATCCAAAAAGTCAAGGGTGTTTTTGTGGTGGCTAATAGATTCAGAATCCATTCGTCCATCTTTCTTATCATCAGCTCCATCAGTGTATTTTAAAAAAAAATTGCAACATTAGGAAATTTTAAAAAAGGTCGTTATTTTTGTATTGTTTTTTACAAAATAAACATATATTTAGTACATATATCCAATTAATATAAATACATACTATTTTTGTTTTGTTTTGTCGTAATGAAGCTAAATAACATCTAAATAAATACATGATTTCACTCATCTTCAAAATACGCGACATGTTTTTTTTATGTAAATATAAAATTCAAAACATATTTTCGCGCGCGCCCACATGCGATTCCGTTCACCATCATGATATAGTTCTTGTCTTCATGACCCTCTCTAAATTGAAATATTTATCACTGAAAGCGTTAGCTAGAAGTCCCTTCCGAACTTTATTGCTGGGATTTGTGTCAAGCATTTTAACCATACATGGTCATCCGTTTTAACGGTATCGGATTGCGTTGGAAACGGAAGCGAATAACGTTTATGTGCAGAATTTGTTCACTTTTTAGAAAAAATCAGATATTTTTCTGAAAACACAAAAATTATAGGGTCATTTCTAAAAATGTGATCCAGAAATGGAGAATTGAAAAGTGTGTACAAGGGGAAATTTTAAGCCGAAACGTAGAACAATTGAAATCTGATGCAGATTGGACTACTACCAAGCTTGTGCTGAAAAGCCCAATGTTCTGCATGAAGGCCATATTTCGTGTTTTTCACATGTTCTTTTTCAAACGACGTATAAGAGCAATTATGTTCCTTCATTTATGTTCCTTATCAAACGTGGAAGAATTGAAATCCCCTAACGTAACTTAATTCCGATTTTTATTTCCGTTTTTGACGCCGGGCCCCCCCCTTTTGTTTTCTAAAAAAGAGACGTGAATCCTATTTTTAAAAACTCAACCCAAACTGTAACGTAAATAACTTTAATTTCGTTTCCGACCGGAATTCAAATCCCCCTAACGTAACTTAATTCCGGATGTTGGATATAGTCATCCGTACTCACTTCCTCCCACTCCCTGTCAATTCCACATTATCATAACATTTGTGCATTTCATTTCATCTGTTGGATGCAAATATTCGTACACATATCATTCCATTGCCGTCAAACATGAACTACTATTCCAATAGGGAAAACTACCCGAAAATGTATGATGTATAAATAAATGATATTGTAACAAATGATACTGCACATTCGGACTTATGCAACTTGAATTAAATCCCAGCTGGAAAGATTAACGTCAACCTTACAATTTACATCCAGGAAAGATTATCGTCATACCCCCCCTCCCCCCCTATTTCATAACACGTCAACCTTACAACTTACATCCGGGCAAGATTATCGTCACTCCCCCCCCCCCCCCCACCCGCATTTCATAACGTTGTTAAATATCACGAATCTGCACCTGGGGGAGCACATGTGTGTCATAGTACCTACTCTGGGGTGTAACATATGCTATACCCCAGAATCGGTGCTGTGCTACACGTGCAATCTTCTGAGTGCACAGTGTGAGAGTTATGTTACACCCCATCGTAGGTGAACACATACGTTTGTGTACACGCACGCGTGTACATACAAAGGCTGGAAATTGTCGTCAAACCTCCCCCCCCCCCCGCCGTATTTCATAGCGTGGTTAAATATAAAGAATCCGCTGCCCAGCATTAACGGTAACAATTTAACGAATAACCTTCACATACAACTGAAATCCCAATCACGGTTCAACCAGACTACTCTATATATGTGTACACAATTGAGTAAGTCTGAGTCTGTTTCGTGTGTGTGTGTGTGTGCACGTGTGCGTCCACTTGTGGTGGGGTTTACCATATCCTCCCATACTATCCACCTGGGGGGCCAGATATGTCTCATAGCACCTACTCCGGGGTATAATCATGATATACGCCAGAATAGGTGCTGTGGTACACGTCTGACTCTCTGAGTGGACAGTGTGAGAGTTGTATGTTACACCCCACCGTAGGTGGACACCTACGGGTGTGTACACACACGCGTGTGGACACACGCACACACAGAAAATTGTGTTCCCCCCCCCCTCCCCCTCCTCCCCATTTCATAACGTAACCTGGTTAAATATTACGAATCCGCTGTGTCGCATCGTTAACGGTAACAGTTTAACGAATAACCATCACATACACCTGAAATCGCTATCTACAGTAGGGTTTAGCATGTCTCCCATACTCTGCACCTGGGGGAGCACATGTGTGTCATAGCACCTACTCTGGGGTGTAACATATGCTATACCCCAGAATATGTGCTGTGCTATAGGTGTGATCGTCTGAGTGCACAGTATGGGAGTTATGTTACACCCCACCGTAGGTGAACACATACGTGTGTGTACTGGAAATATAGTATATAAAAATTGTAGGATACGGAATGCCGAAAATAAGGATACAAATTAGAGTAATATGGAATATACGAAATGTGGAATACAGTGAACTGCTGAGATTCACGACGGAAGTTGGAGTAATGAAAATCAGAAATTTGGAATATGAACTGCCCAGAATCATGATGACATTTGCAATCTTGCGAGTACTGCTTTGAGAAATATCATAGTAAAAAGTCCAACTTCAGTCGAAACGTCATCAGTTTGAACCTTTTTATATGTGAGAACATAAATATGTCCAAGTGTATTTCTTTAAATTACTTAAATCGGGTTGTGAACGGTTGCGGACATGAAAGTGCGTCACTTTCAACAGATCAAGTGGATGCATGCATGTCTGATCCTAAAAACAGCGCCACCAAATTTGATTTCGCTCTAAAAACAACTGCATACAAGCATAACATTAAAGGGACGAAACTCACCTCAAACAACGTAAAAAAAAGACGCGATTTGCTCAGAATACAGACTCTTCTATCGGAATATGAACAACTATCATCTAGTAAGCACTATAACGGCAAACGTGGTTCATATTCTTCATCACAATGCCGAAATATAATTGCTAATTGCACTACTGAGTCTCAAAGTACAAATTATGCATCACATCATACAATTGCAAACGATAATACAACGTCCAGTTCAACACATCTTACTTCCACCATTACAGGTGCTCCAAATAATCTTACAGGCAATAACATCGGAATCATTGATGACAATACTGATATGGATGACCATGCAGGTAGTGATCCTAACGACGAATATTCTAATGAAGTTTACATAGATGATGACGCTACTAACGATTATGAGAAAAATAAAGATCATGCGTTGAAAAGGTTACACGATTCAACGGGTTTGAGTAATATACTTTTGAATTGTACTCAAGACGAAATAGAGACACCATTGCCCGAATCAATTAACAAACAACCTATTCGGGAATGTATAAATGAATACGATAAGGTTATGAATTGTAAGCACGTCAAAGGTTTTAGCTGCGCTAGTTGTGGTTATTCACAGCTACAAGATCCGAGTGAGAAATATTTCAAAAGACATGTCGACATACAAGACTTTTTGTGCACGGATACAGCTACGGCAGTTAATATCCGTGCTAATGTCTTGAGTAGCAATTATACCATTGAAAACAATATTTATTTTTTTGCATCGTAGTTTGATACTCGTAGCATGTTCTTTTGATGTCTGTCATCGATGTGAAGCCGGTTTTAAGAAAGAGAAGCCTTACAGCTTTTCTTTAGCAACCCACTTTGATCTAGGTGATATGAAGTACTACCAAGAGTTACATAATCTGCCACAACCAACTTTTATGGAGTGTAGGATGCTGCAATTAGAACATACATTCAAAAATATCTTGCAAATGCAGTTTGCACCTTTTACCGATAGCTTATCGTTGAAACTAATGGGACACATGAATGCATTTCCGATAGATGGGCCTGTAAAGTTTGCAGAAGCATACCGGATATGAATGTATTACGTGAATGGCACTGCGTTATGATTGGTACAGTAAAAGATATCAAACAATAAATGAACAGTGCTACGAAATGCCAACAGTATACTAAGTTCCTCGCCGTCAGACCAGCTGTTGTGCATCAGTATTTATCATTATTAAAAGAACGCAACGTGTTGTATAAAGATATACAAATTATACCTCAGCATGAAACACATGATGAGATGTTATCCTTTGCTGATAACATTTTAAATAATGCTCAAGTGGTAACGTAAGACCGTGTTATTAACGTATCCCACACTGCCAGTGACAACATCGCTGCCCAGATGCCTAATACAGATATCCAACATAAACTGTATTCCAACTCTTGCGTAAATGAATCAGACGCAGCACATATCTTCCATTGTCGACTCACTTGGCCCAAGCTTCAAACGGGAATTTACTGACCACTTCTTCCTATCAATCTTTCCTGAACCGCTACAGCGACTATGAGAGCCATATCGTATATTCATACATTGCATCATACATACTTGCTATTTTTGAAATAAATAATATTATCCCTATTGTAAACCACATTACGCGAGATCCGTAATATTGGTTTGCAGCAATCTAGTCTGCACGTACAAGATACAGGTGCAGAGGACCATAATGATGACGACAATGAAACTCGGATGCCTGCTAGTAATGATTCCCAACCGGATGACCTTGAACGAGGCAACATACGGTTGCCAGTAACTCAATCTGATTTTCCTATGAATGATTATACTGAAAATAGCACTCTTATGCATAGTTGTTTTCCTTTTCTCATGCCGACTGGCGATATTCTATCCAAAAGAAGAAAAAGGGTACACTCAGTCCTGTTCTATTGGAACACTTCTTGCATTATTACGATCATTGGTTTGCACAATGTATCAACTTCATTTTTTTTTTTAATACAGATCAAATTCGTCGTCATAAATGCGCACGTACTGTTGGAACTTCCTTTTCCAGTCAGCCTGCGAAACTACAAATCATCAAAGATGTTGTGAACGATCCTGCATTTTAAGATAAATCACAATATGTATTAGAACATTCGGACTCTAAAGTAGCCTCGGAAATTTTTAAACTGTTCGTCCCTCTATTGAACATTACAAATGGTATGACTCTACTGTGAAAGCATAGGTCGGCTAACTATCTCAACAGAGTGCATGCTTTTCGTTACCATCTCCCCTGACATATCTATTGATAGTAAACTTAGTACAAGGCCCAATGACCTGTAGACATCGACATAATTCAACCAAATAGTCCTGTAGACGACAATCCATGCACGAACACTGCGGATACACTGTTTATAACAAAAAGTGTTCCTGTATCTCAAATCCAACACTATCTGCATCGACCTATCCGATTTGCACTTGTATCGTGCTACGAATATTTCGCTTTGAAAAAAAGTTTCTAAACAAGACCTTAAAAATTCATTGCATCCTGAACAAAAAACTCACACCAGCCGCGGTACCAATGTTTTTTTTCATTCCCAACCTCATCACCCTTCATATGGTCTATACTGTGTATATTTGCATTTTAAACAATTATCAATACCCATGTTGGCAGGTACACCTCCTCCAACAATCCCTAAGTCATATCAAGACAACCTCGAAAAAAACGTCGTGCTACACGTTTTTCTCAATACGTTCTAACACTTCACTGTCTCTGGAACATAGCTACTGGTCTTTTGCCCTACACTATTGACGTAGATGGTATGAATTCATACTTAGAAAACTTACAACTCATAAACAATATAGATTCCTGCTCTCGCACACGTCTTCATTGGATATGCATTCTAGGTCGCGGTACATATGTGAGTAGTGAAAACTGATCATTACTAAACAAGTTCCGCTCTCGTGGCGTTATTCCTTGGTCTACAAAAGAACGCAAAGAGTTTGACAATATTTTGGCACATAAAGCACAGTTCAATAACACGGTCTCTACTCACGACAACCTAACTAATATAGAAAGCGCTCTAAAAGTTCTCCGTTTAATGACTGACACACTGTCGGCACAAGACAAAAAGGATGATGATTATGTAAACACAATACTCAATGATATTTAGAGCTTTCATACTTTCATTCAAGAACTCCTGTCTCCAATGAAATCTTCTGCTTCCGCACTTATCCCTACAATCACCTCGGATGACTGTATGAATGCCATAAAAGAACTACCGAATACAAACATCAACTCTGACAATTACGACGCTGTTGTTTCTAATGCTTTACCATTCACACAACTGCGACACCCACATTTACAGACTTTATATGATTACTATCAACATGAAGACTTCCTTGCGCCCGACCCCGGATTAGACCCCGAACAAACGCATATCGTGCAAAGACTATTGACATTCATAAGAGACATAGAGGTCCAGGAACTATATACCAAGCACCATCCCACAATAGATAATCCACACCGCTCTCTTGCACAACAATTCTTGTGAATACAAGGCGCGGCTGGTGTCGAAAAAACTTGGTCACTCAACACTGTTAAAAAAAATTACCACAAACAAACCTCATCAGATTCAGCGCGTTCACGGCGTCGCCTCCATTCTTCTACCGGATGGAGAAACTCTCACCGAATTATTTTCCCTTCCTAATAGAGATCATTATGAACCCCTAGAAACCACTTAAAGAATACGATTGCGTACAAAACTAGGCCGTATGCGTGTCTTGGTCATAGGTGAAGTTTCTTTCATATCTGCTATACAATTATTCCATGTAAAAAAAAAAGACTTCAAAGAGATCTTCAACAATAATGCTGATTTGTTTGCTAGCATGAGCGTCGTCTTAATGGGGGATCTCAAACAGCTTCCGCCTCCAAAACAACAGTAACCACATAAGACTCTGTTGCGTTGTTGTACGAATTCTCTAGACGTTGCTGTCAAAAGTTTACTATAAAACTTCACCGTATACCAATTCATAACCCAACACAGAACTGCAGACCCACAACATATATCATTGCTGCGCCAATTCGAACCCAATCAAAGAATCAAAGCCAGCACATTTTGTTTCATCCAGCATTTGGATCAAAACATATTACATACCGATCCAAATCATTGGTACAATTCTACTTATGCGTGCCTGGTAAATAAGGAACGGCGGGCAGTAAATACTTTGCGCATGCAGCATTATAGTTTAGCCATGAACCAGTATTTTTACAGATTCAGACGTTTATTCAAAGGCGATACTGACTATGAAACACCACTCTGTACAAAAACACATGAATTTTTTCCAGAACTGTACCAATATTTCATCACTGGATATTCGTTATGCTAACTCGCAATATTTGCGTTCAATATGGTCTCGCTAATGGCACCCTACTCGGACGAACAAAACCAACTACAACACAATAATGTGAAACAGAATGCTATTCCAGGTGAGGTTTTAGAGATCCCAACACCAGATCTTATAATCAAACCAGACACTGAATTACGCCACAGAGTCCCGTCAGACAAACACATTTTCCTTGGTGATCCCACGGCTAATATAATCACGACACATATTAGCTATCCACGGTTACTTACTTCCTATATTACTACGTTAATCCCTGTGTACGTGTATATGCGTATACTAATAAATTATCGTTCAAATTCTTCTGCCACTTTTCCTTAAAATATGTTCCTCACTTTTTAAAAAAAAATACTTTGAACTAATTTTTTTCTAGTCCTTTAAATTTCCTGTTTCAAACGTGCCTAAAATATTCACGAAAATTAGGTACTCTGCTTACTAAAATTACGAACAATTATTTGAATCCCAATGAAATTTGTGTATTTACCCGCACAATATTTAGTTTTTTAAACATTTCTCATTTTTACTCTCAAAAACCGTTCCGGGATTAAACACTAAGCTTATCCACAAATGCCGCATGTTCTCCTTCCACCCCATATTTCCTGTTTTGGCCTGTAAAAAATTCACTTTAATCACATATGCTTCATTTCTATCATATTTCATTTCCCGATTTCCATTCACACCCCAAATTTTTCCCCTTCCCTTCCCATTTCATACTTTTCCTTTTACATACTTGCACCACCCATTCGTTTCTTCTCTCCCTGTCTACGCTTTCAAGTCCCCATGTCGAAGACATGTATTATGTATTTATTTATAAATCTCGTTCTCTCAACATTTCCTCTAATAATTACACACCCATAAATATCTCTCTAAATGAGATATAGAGTGCTATGCGATCTTCTAAGTATTAAGAACAAGTGAATACTTTCTTTGTCTATGCTCTTTTCATGTGAGATATAAGAAATGTACTGTATTGCTGCTTTTAATCCGAAATAATTGAATTATCGAGATCCGGAATACTCCGAAACATGGATATATTATGCCATGTAATGATAGACATCTAGAAGGCCGCGTGTCGCACGGACAAGGCTAAATTTATTTTCGGAATCTAGAGCGTACGAAATATATATGTCAGAAATTTAATAGGTCATGCACAAAGTCTTTTTTTTTTACCTCTTTCTTTTTCGCATCAATCAAATGATTGCCAAGATGTACAAAATATTATAGTGACTGATAGATATTTACAAACACTATTCCATTACAGACGTTCACTTAGAAGAGCGTTCCGATTCACGTTCATGATAAAAGTACAAGGTTGACCCAATTGTTTATTTCTTAATTGCTTGTGACTGTCGAATTTAAAAGCAAAAAGTATTCTCGACTCACCTCTCTACTAGCGTTAGTTAAGACGGGTTTTTTTTTCAGTTATACGAAGTGATTTTGTTTGAGTTATAAAGCATTAAATACCTTTATTTGTTGTATTGATGTTATATTTTGTTTGTTATCAGTAGTCCCTGTATACTGTGCATCCTGTGCATCAAAATGATATACAAGGAGCGGGGTTTCCAATAGCTGACAAGTATGCTAAAGTTACTCGCTTTTTCGAGGGATATGATATATAATTTGAAACAGATAAACTTCGCAGTTTTTTTCTTCAAGCCGATTCCAGCTATTGAATCGGATCTACCAACAAATTGCTCCTCGCTCTAAAAGTTCTCACTTATGGACTGAAGAGAAGTCGGAGATTTCAAAGTGCCACAGTCGGTGTTTTTCACAGTGGCAGTAGTACACGAATCGGGCCTGAAAAACACTGAATCCAAAGATTCGATTTCAGGTCGGAGACTTGTGAATGATTTTACAGAGGCGCACTTGTAGTCTATATAATCAGGTGGCTGCTCTATTGATCTCGAAAATGTGAAACAGCTTTGCACTTGGTATGCACTGTTTGAATTGTCGGGTTGTTTAGGTAGATTGCCTTGTAGAATAATCGGGACTGAAAAGGTTAGATCTTTGCATCCACGGGTATGGATCGTGACGTCTACGGTATAGCTAACTGCAACCGATTGCATGGTATCTGAACATTCAACTCTATTGCTCGGTGCAAGTATGATGCGTTTTCCATCGCAGTCTCGCAGCAGTTGCACAGCAGTGCGATCGTCATATTTCTTCGGTACGCTAGTGACACAATTAAACTTGCGAACGCATGTAGAACCTTGCGCCGTGCCGATCTTCGTCCAATGGTTTTTCTTCGTCAAATTTCTCAGCTTTGTGTGATCCATTATAGTTTGGAATAGTTCCACAATCGAATAGCACATGTTGAGCAACGTGTGCTGTAACGCTTCTAACGACCGCACCGTTCTTGTGTATGGCTAGTCGAATATCTATCGGTTCCCCTTCTTGGTCCACGTCTTGTGAAAGGCTGATCTCTGCACGTAGGGTGAGATTTTTGCTTTCTACGAATACCTCACGCTGGACTCTTGGGCCCATATTCATTTGGGCATAGTACAAAGCCGACATGGTGAATCGACGATAGGCCATTGGCTTCCAATCAGCCTCCACCAAGCGTGCATCCCACTGCACAGAACAAAACGTATGATTGTGTGTCACCACAAGATCATCTGGCAGCCCAAAGGTAATTGAGAGTCGTGTTAGACCCTCCTTTACATGGTAGTTACGCTCTATTCTCTTTCAAGCGCTGTACAAAGTGTGACCAAATGAGCGTCCACTGGTACTCTTCTAACGGAGACGACAAACAATTCATTTTATTTACGGAGGTCGCCCGAGGGGCCGTCATATTGACAAACCCCGAGATTTGATCACCTACGTAATAAACCTTCTTGTCTAGGTGTATCATGTGCGACACGTCTCTAGTTAAGTTGCAGCGACTTATACGAGACGGCGCATCCATGTTCAAGTTTTCTGAATTTGATCCCGTCATATTCTCACGCGTAGGTTGGGAGAGGAATTGATATTTGGGGTAATTGTTGTATCAAAGGAATTGTAACGATAGAAGAATACTTTGATGTCTCTAATATATGTAACGATTGAATTCAAATATCGCACATGTTGAACAAATTTTCAGTGACAGTGGGCTAACGCCAGCGACTGCTGTTGTAGCTGGCGCCTGACTGCGGGCCCAATAAATCATGTGTGAAACAGATCTTTAAAATATTTTTCTTTGAAAGTCTAAGTAATGAATATATTTTTTATAAAAACTTTCATACATTTTTTTCTTCGAATTGTGTTTTTTTTTTTTACAAACCAAAATTTGGTCCTATCTCCTGAAGTCGAGTCTTGAGCCTTGACTCTTTAGTCTTTATGACTTTATCATTGCAAGTGAGAAGACTTTTATATTTTAATATGCTTTATTTAGAAACAAATAAAAAATAGTGATACATAGTGGCACCCGCGTGGCATTTCCTTCTCATACAGTGGGACTCTGGGGGTGGGTGTCTTTTTAGTTTTTTAGGAGGCTATGGAGTGGGTGTCTTTTTTTGTTATGACAGTAGGTGGCTCAGGAGCCGGGGAGGCGTGTAGATTATTTTCTAATAAAATTTAAATAAACAAATAGTACTATTTAGTGCCATAGTGGTACAGGTCAATAAAAATGTGAAACAGTTCTATTGTAACCTGTTTTTAGTTTATTTGTACCATTTTCACCTTTTTAGCCTATAACCCGTAGTTTACTAATTACCCGTTCAGTATCTACAAAATTGATTTCTAAAAATAGATATACAACTGTTGGTTATTTTCAACTGGACATAAATAGTTTCGAGTTGTTGACCCGGCCTTTAAAAAAGGCCTAAAGCCACCTTGCACCTCGCTTAGTAGACCGAGTGTTAAGTCTGTCAGACTCGTCGCACCCTTTCGTCAGTCGTCTCTCGCCTTCGGACTTCCGTCTTCCGTCTGTGGGCGGTCGCCGGTCGGGCTGCTGGCCGTCGGGCCCTCAAAACTCGCGACTGCGCGACTCGAGTCGCGTTTTGAATTCAAACCTTTACTCCGATAAAAGACTTCGCTTTTTTTTTCAACACAAACCATTTTCGTTTTTTTTGTTTTTTATTGTATTTTTTTTTGGTTTGCTTTTTTTTTGTAAACAAAACCAAACAAACAAACCAGATTACATACCAGAACAAACAAACTTGACATTTGTAGGTCGATCTAGAAATTCGTAATCCACCAAATAAATTCTCTCTCTCTCTAGGCAACTACCCCCTGGACCGTTATAGCCCAAAAGTAGATTCCTTATTATACATTAGCCGGTTTCAAGTTTGTGAGCTTGAGACTTTGAGGCTTTGAGCTTCCTCCAAATCTCTTTCAAATATTCGTCTCGTCGTTGAAAGTTGACTCGAGATTTGAGATTTGAGACGCATACGATTGGAGGACGAAAAAAGATCGATGACGAAGTTAAAAACAAATGTCTTTTTTTTACCAAAATGGGTAAGGATAATTGTTATTGGTCTATTTCTGCAAATTACGAAATAAATTTTAGTTCCGTATGAATAGAATCTCTACAACTAGATAAAATGAAGTGGAGGTGACAAGGAAAAGCCGGAGCCAAGCCTTTTGTAGAATGTAGATCTATTTCAACCTTCGTATTGACAAAATTCTATGAAAAAATATTTAATTTCTGTTGGCAGGCTGCTGGCGGTGAACCCCATTCAGAATACTAGTAGAGAGAGGCAAGATCCATACGTTCTTAGTGCCGTACATATATTAGATCTTAGAGACATTATGTGGCTCCGTCTAACTATTTACAACAAAAAAATTGAAAATACATTTGGCAAGTTGTTTATTTTTTCAAAACAATAAGAAAACCTATTTTGATAAAATATAGGTCCCAAATTTAAATGTTTTGGCAAAACAATGAAAACATAAATAAACTGCACCCCCAGTGGTTGAAATTTAAGGTTGCAGGAACCATTTGATGTCAATAAAATATCAACAACCGGAGTAAAATGGAGCAAATGGGCGGGATATAGGATTTTATTTTTGAAGCACACAAGTATTTATGTACGATTTTGTTGAAAAAATCGCACCTTCCATTCGGACGCTAGTTCGATCCCCTTTGTATTTTAGCTTCTTCTCTCTAGAGAGTAGAGAGGGTAATGGTACTTTACAATATTGCGCTTGCACTCAGTTGTGCAGCTTAAAATATCTACACGGCACCAACGAATGCCTGAGCCTGTGTCTAAACCGCATCCGGTCCATCCGTAAAGGCAGGGTCGATATTTATGGGCACACGTAAGGCGACCCGGGCCTAAGCACTGAACTGTTATGCGCGTGCACTTCACCGGTGTGTGTACAGTCGTGCACTCAAATAATAATATTGACAACGTGCACGTGTACACGTATGTTGAAAACAATGTGAGATGGCTTTAGTTATTTTAATACTTAAGTCTCACACAGTACATGAGGCTCATCCTTTTAGTTCAGCCTGAGGATGGCCTCAATCTTACTGACGATTTCAAAGGACAGTAGTATTTTGTGTTTCTGCGACTTACACCCTCTTCAAAAAATCAAAAACACTTGGTATAATATACTATTTAGTACTGTTTTTTGGTATTAATAACACAGACCTGAGAGGCTGAGACTATGTGACACTGTCTATATTATTGGTAATTCAATATTGACTGAAACAAAATGAAAAAGTAACTTTACCGAAACAACAGTCAAGTATCAGTTTTCGGTACATAAACTATGTCGCCTATAACCGGAAATAGAATACAACGCCTCAGACGCACTAGAGATTGTGAGCGTGAATTGCACAATCGCACTTTAAATTTTCAATAGTCATGTCCATCTAGGAAAAGTAGTAATTATGGGAGGTTCAATTTCGTTTTGTCCTGTTCTGTTGTTATTTTCAGGTCCAAGGGATTTTGTCCTGTTCTGTGATTTCATTAACCGCAATTATAATATTTGTATAGTTGTTGTTTTTTAAACAAATTCGAGAAAATTATTATATATCCTACAAATATATAGAGAGAGAGTATTTATTTTTTGTAGAAAACCAATATATAAAAAACACTTTTCATAGCCTCCTGAAAAAGACAATATTTTACATATGTATTTATTTACATATTTGTTTTTACAACAAATAAAAAAAAACATTGTAAAATTTTAAAACTGCCGAGATAACAAAATTAGTAAATTTATATATATAAAAACTACACAAATGTATGTACCTATTTATTTTAAAACAAAACTCAAAAAGGGAGCCGCATTGGTATAGTAGGTCTATAGGACTCTGTAGTGGAGTGGCAAACATCAAATATTATTGGACTGAAGAGACTGGAAATTTTTACTAAATATATAGTGGTTGACATAGAAGTTCATGCCAAATAATTATTGGCAGTTAAATGACTCAATTTCTTCATATTGGCGGGCAATAGTTTATGAACCTATGCTTAATCTCATCCCGATCGGACTATTGGTTCAAAAGTTATGCAGTTTTCAAATTGTAAATACTTCGTAAAAAATTTGTACCAGAACTGGGTCAAAGTCAACCTAGCCACACGTAAATAACAACTAAATAGCAAGTCAACAGAAAAACATACCTTTCCGGCAGTATAGAAATGTAGCATACTACCTTACTTAAAAATGGTCTATGGGGGGTTATATGTATGCGTATAGCGAGTCAACCACTATAGTAAAATCCTCGGTCCCCTCCGTCCAATGTTTCATGTTGTCTACTCCTATCATTTACTATTAGAGAACCGTCAGAACGACGTTCCAAATGAACGGAAGTTCTCAGCCAGTTCACAGACCGATATTTAGATCGAGGTGACATCACGTCCACCCCCTCCACCACCACTCCGCAATCACGTCCACAGCAGCTAAGGACTGAAATCCCCACAGTCAAAAAATGGGCCCGTGACTTCCAGACCACTCCTGATGCACTCTGGAGGAACCTGTATCCTATTCACCATACTGCAATTCACGGCGGAGACGCTAGCGAACTGTATTGTCAGCAAGCTGTGTTCGATCATGTCCAACTCGACGACGAGGGTTGGTCGCCACTACATTATGCAGCATGGAACGGTATTTTATTGTATTCAACGTTCCTTTTGAAATTAAGGTGTGTGTCATTAAAATATACATATATATGTATGTGTATGCGTGTA